TGCAATTAAAAAAAAAAAAAAAAAAAAGACTAGGTACAGAACAGTGTGAATGATATAATTCCTACAGTTCCATTTTCAATTAAAAATTGAATACCTTTCTCTCTATATTAAGCAAAAGACTGGAACCATTAATAACTATCATCCCTGGAGAATGAGAAGGATGGAAGGGACTTCCACATTTTCCTTTAAATATTTCTGCACTGTTCTAACTTTCTTCCAATGAGTATTTACTACCTTTGAAATTCAAAATACCAAATAAAGATTTTTAAAAAGCACTGACTCCTTATATAGCACTTTTCTCAAGAGTTTACAAAGTCTCTCCACATGGGTTATTTCTCAGAATCCTTATAGCAATTCTCAGTTCACAGCAAGGACACGAGGCTACACAAGGTCAAGGAATTTATGCACATGGCACAGCTTAAAATGGTTGCTGCAACTCCAGAGCCAAAGCTTCCCCCAGTGGAAGGGAGACAGAGCTGCCTGGGGAGAATGGACGGTGAGGAGCTGCGGACCGGGCGGTTTTGATCCGTACATACACCAGGAAACAATTGTGTCTTTGGGAACATGAACTTTCTTCTACTGTCACTTTTTATGGTTTATGGCCAATTTATGTTTATCAGCTATGGCAAATGCGGGGAGCAGAATGGCATTACAGTGAAGATGTACACTTTGGGGATGAACCATTTTCAGTAGTTTATCTCACAGAAATATTTTCTTTTTCACATGCCTGAATTTTTTTCCCATAAAGACGTTCACGCAGTTCATTGATCCGCTTGTCCATCACGGCCACCTCCATGTTGCGCTTATTCAAGAGCTCCTTCTGCTGCTGGAGCTTTGAATTCTGCTCCTGGTTGAGCTGATTACGAATCTGCAAAATAGAAAACACAACATTCATGATTTGTATTAACTAAACAGTCAAGTTCTCATTGTTAGGGGGATTAAAAAAAGAAGAAAAAAGCAACATTTAGTTCTTATGTGTATTTACATACAGGCATCGTCCCCTGTATGCTAAATATTTTACAGGTACAGCACAGATGAAGCTGGAACATATTTCTTATGGAACAAAAAAAGAGCAAATATCTGCAAATGTGTCTTCTTCAAAGCGTACGGAATGACTAGTACCAGTAATGTCTGTGGGACAACATGCCTGTGGTCCTAGCGAATGGGGGTGGGTGGGGTTCAGTGACATAAGGAGGGGCATCTGTTCTGCCCCACACAGTCCATTCAATGTGGCAGCAGGAAACCCAAGGATGGCCAAATCACCAAACAGAATGTTCTTATATCATTTTAATGGGTTATAACAAGCACTTTTAAAAAATGAAATAGAAAATAGAAAACATCAGAGTGCACTGCACATAGAAGGTTAAGTTTTGTCTTGCTAAACTCTTTCAGATGCACACATGTACTAGCACATACATACTGGCATATGTGTACAGAGAGGAGGTAACATGTACTTTATAACCTAGACTGCAGTCAAAAAATTGGAAATATATATAAATAAATATACTACAGTCATCACACTTTACCAAAAAAAATCCTTAAAAAACCCTGCACTTGCATGAGGGAGGGGATATGGGGATATATGTATACGTATAGCTAATTCACTTTGTTATATAGCAGAAACACAACAATGTAAAGCAATTATACTCCAATAAAGATGTTAAAAAAAAAAAACCCTGCGCTTTTAACAATTGCTTAAAAATATAAAAAGTAATAAATTCTTATAACACTTTGTTTCTATGCATTTACATTACAGAACTTAATGGCAACAAGTGAGTTTACTCTCTGTAATTAAAAATCTGCATGTCATAAAATGATATAATACTTTTTCTAGCAAGTGCTAATATAACTGCAAAACTTGTATCTGGCTTCAAAAATCACCTGCTGGGGACTTCCCTGGTGGTCCAGTGGGTACGACTCCACACTCCCAGTGCAGGGGGCCCAGGTTCAATCCCTGGTCAGGGAACTAGATCCCACATGCCATAACCAAGAGTCTGCATGCCGCAACTAAAGATCCTGCGTGCCGCAACTAAGACCTGGCTCAGCCTAAATAAATAAATAAATATTTTTAAAAAATCACCTGCTGAATGACAATTTCTGAGAAATGGGAATCTTGAGGGTTGTTATGATTGTGTCCTCCCAAAATTCATATGTGGAAGCCCTAATCCCTAATGTGATAGTATTTGGAGATGGAGCCCTTGGGAGGTAATTAGGCTTAGATGAGGTTGTGAGGGTGGGGCCTTCATGATGGGGTTAGTGTCCTTATAAGAGGAGGAAGAGAGATCAGAGCATGTGTGGACACACCAAGAAGGCAGCCAGGAAGTGGACCCTCACCATGAACTGATCTTGGACTTCCAGCCTCCAGAACTGTGAGACATAAATGTCTGTTGCTTTAAGGCAGCCCAAGCTGACTAAGACAAGGATTTAACAAATAAGCATCTATCCCGTCAAAACACAGTTTACACAGAGGCCTTAAGTATTATCTAAAGCTTAATTCTTTACCAGTTCATCATATTGCCAATTAAATTCATACTGAAATTTCTGTACCGAAAACATGCTAAGTGAGAGAAGCAAGTCACAAAGAACTACAACTGCATGATTCCATTCATATGAAATTTCCAGAATAGGCAAATCCATAGCGATGGAAAGTAGAGTCATGGTTGCTTAGGGCTAGAGGGATAGGGGGTTGTGGGGTGATGGCTAAAAGGTGTCTTTTGGGGGTGATGAAGATATTCTAAAATCAACTGTGGTGGCGCATACAGAACTCTGTGAAGATACTGAAAACCACTTAATTGTATGCTTTAAATGGGTGAATCGTATGCTATGTGAATTATGTTTCTCAAAGCTGTTTAAAAAATTATTTTGTACTGAATACATTTTGTGCCTACTATTAAATTACAATCCATTAATTTGTTTCCAGTTCCTGAGGCTTCCACACTGAAAGAAAACTCAAAAGATAAGGAAGTTTTAATAGAATCATTCCTCAGACCCAGGTGAGTTACCTGTAGCTCTTGGTACAGTCTTTTCAGCTCCACTGCTGCTGGTCCTGTCAGCTTGCCATTGTAAGACTGGAACCCATTCAGTTTTCCCTTCTTTAAATCTTCCAATTGCTGACTGAGCTGATCAACTCTTAAAATTGCAGTCTGTACTTCTTGCTTCTTTTCCTGGAACATGGCACTGAACCTTTCTATTTCGGCAGCTATAATTTCCCACCAATTAGGGAAAAAAAACATAATTTAGTTGATATTCTTTTTTTCATAGTATTTTGCTATTTTTATTTTGTGATTTCTTCATTTCTATCCATTTAACTCAACTTTAGCATCATCTAGTGCCAGACCTTGGAGAGAAAGTTGTAATATCCATAATCCAAAACACACTTCAACAAGCCTTTGGAACACATAACGTGACCGCTCATATGACAAACAATTAATTTGCACTAATTATTGAATATTTTTAAATTAGGGCAATCTGTCCAAAAGCTATCTTGGTCAAGCCACTTAGGAATCTCAAGGCACCAAAGAGACCAAAGGCTCTGTGAGGGCAGGACCATCCAAATCTATCTTGCTTATTCTGTAACATAAAGTAGGTACTAACAGAATTGACTGATGAAGTAACAATCCATGCACACAGAAATAAAAAGTGAGCATTTGCATGCTTTATCTTAATACACAGATAAAATTTATGCTGTTCAATTAAAACAGACCCTCATGATGAGTTGAGTCTTAAGAGTACCCTAGGCCCAGTCCAAAGGGCGGCTGCAACCAAGGTAACAAAAGGATCTCTCTACTACATTACTAAAGCTGCAAAAGATTTTCTAAAATCCCTTAATCTAACCAATCCATCCAGTTAGATGCAGATGACAGAGCAAAGCTTTAGTGCTTTTCTACAGCAAGATCTGACATCAGCTTGTGACTGAGAGCATCTGGAAGCTGGCCTGTCTCACGTCATCTACGCCTGCTGAGTGTGGGCGCCAGTGGGCCGTGGCACGTACACAGGCTGCCGTTCACGATTTTGCTGTAGTCCACTTGTCCTCTCATGGCGCGGATCTTCTTCAGTTTATTTTCCTGGGCTTCAACTCTTTCTTTCAATTTCTGAAGCTTTTCGTTTTCAGAAATAGACTGCTGCTGACGGCGCTCCTGTTGCTTTAGAAAATGTAAACGCTGTTCCTATTGAGAGAGGAAAATAGCTAACTTTGAAAACTGAAATGTACAGTAACTTTTGTACACTAAAAAAAGTTTAAGTGGATCCCTCAGTATCTCCTATCTTAATGAATGTTACAGAAATGCCAGCCACGCTTTCACCTCCATCCTGTGTGTGAAGCCCCAGCAGCCTAAGCTTCCTGCCGCTAGTACCAGGTTTCCTGCTGCTACAAAGCGGCTTTCAAGGGTCCCTTATATTAACCTCCTAAAAGAAATGAGCACTGAGTAGCAGAGGATTTTATATTGGAAAGAGATAAGGTGAGCAGTAAGGAGATGAACCTCTAATCTGCTAAGTGACAGGAACCTTTGAGGAAGGGTTTGTTTTCTTTAGGATTAGTTCCTTCAAAAGTAATCAAACATTTTATAGTCAGACAAGAACAAAACAGTCCTACAGTAAAAATATATGCAATACTCTTCAATAGGTTTTTTCCCTACTCATGTGAAAGCACACCTTAAGGGTAACAGTCAACATTATTCATGGTCCCATCTGTATGCATAAAACATACTTAAGAAGAGGCTCAAGTGTGACTGTGTAGGCATTACACACTGCACACTAAGGGAAGGGAATATGTGCTTCAATATGGAAAGATCAGCATTACCTTGTGAATTACACTGCTGAAAATATCTAAGATTTTTTAAAATAGCAATACTCTTGGATCAATATTTGGAAAGAAAATAAAAAGTAGAATTAGAAAATTTTATAATGACGTAATACCACGTACATTTCATCTTAGAAATAGGATGAAAATACTTTCCAATTACTTTTGATTGTTCTTTATTCTTGTAAATCCAATAAACTTTGTAAGACAACTTTTAAAAACAAGCCCAACCTAAACTATTATTTACACAAAAGTGGACAGAATCACATGGTCATTCAATAAATGAAAAAAAACTGAGCTGGACATTTGGTTCTTAAGAAAATCTCTCTACAGAGCAAGCATGAAAAACCTAGGTAGTGGCGTTAACATGTTCTCTCTACAGCAGTTTCAGAACATTTACGATCATTAGAACATGAAATCATTTTCAGCAGGCCGTGGGTGATAGGTCTGATTTTTTAGTCCAAGACTAAACCATTATTTAGAAAAGTTTTGAAAGCAGGATCCTGTGGGGCCGTCCCAGGTACAAAAGCCTTTTCTGCGCCCCCATTTCTGGTTTGGAGGGAAAAGGCTTCAGCCTCCTATGCCTTCCCTGAGCTCTAAAAGGCAGATTCAGTTACTAACCAGGGAAGTAAGAGAATGCAGGAACAAAGGAGGAGCAGTCAGGAAACAACAGGGTCCTGGCTCCTCCTCCAGGGACACACAGAACGATATACCCTTGAGCTCTTCTGCAGGAACTAAGGCCCCCACCCAGGTGGAGGGTGCTAACTCCACACTGAGCACAGACTCCAGAACACCAGCCTGTTCCCTCACCACCAATGAATCAGAAGAAAGCCACACACCCTGCAGCCCTCCCCTAAATTTTGCCTATAAAAATGCTTCCCTGAGAACCACCAGGGAATTCAAATTTTTTGAGCATGAGCCACCCGTTTTCCTCACTTGGCCCTGCAATAAACCTTTCTCTTTTCCGAACTCCAACATTTCTGTTTTGGTCTGTTTGGCCTCACTGCGGGTCGGCAACAGTTTCAAATGCTACGACGGAGTTTCAACAACAAATCTAGTCCTCAGTGTAAATAATGAGTGCTGATGATGCCGTGCACCAAAATAAACCAAACAAATTCCTTGTATGGTGGGATAAAGGGAAGCCACTGTCTTGGGGGCCCATGGCCAGTGTCTTATCACAGGTCATTGGCTTCCTCTAGAACACTAAGGCCAACTACATCAGCCGAGAACACATCCAGAGGAAAAAGGAGGGGAGAATGGAAAGCATCCTTTCTTTCCAAATTTCATCTACAATTGGCCAAGTGTTTCCTGTCCCGGGGGGTTGTGTGTGCAAGTCAAGGGTCAGATGCTCTTGTTCCGATACTTTCCCAACTTCAAGAAGCTACAGTATGCATTTATGATTACAGAAGAGATAATTAAGAAAGATATTGTGTTTAACACTGTGGCGGCATGGTCCTACTTGCAGGGGTTAGCCAGGTAATCTAAAGTAATGCCAAAAAACACCCTTGTTGAACATTTCCCCACCGCTGCTTTAATAACTTACCTTGGCAACCAACATTTGCTGCTGGTTTTCAATTTGCTGTTGTTGCCTAGCTGCCATATCTTGGAGTTCTGAGAGGGTAAGTTCGACACGTGGATTCCCAATCTGCAGGGAACAAAACAAACTCAGACTGGAATGTATGTTTATCTGCATAATCATTTTCTCTAGTGTCAAAATGCACACACATCAAGATTTTTAAATAGGTTCCCTAGAAGCTAAGAGAAGATAAATAAGTTTACTTTCTCATAAGAACTTTTCCTCCTAATTGTTGACTGCTTCTATTAAATTTATTTGAGTAAACGGGGATGTCAAATGTTTAAGGATAAACAACGTAAAAAATAAATGTGTAGGGCTTCCCTGGTGGCGCAGTGGTTGAGAGTCTGCCTGCCGGTGTAGGGGACACGGGTTCGTGCCCCGGTCCGGGAAGATCCCACATGCCGCGGAGCGGCTGGGCCCGTGAGCCATGGCCGCTGAGCCTGCGCGTCCGGAGCCTGTGCTCCGCAACGGGAGAGGCCGCAACAGTGAGAGGCCCGTGTACCGCAAAAAAAAAAAAAAAATGTGTGGGTGATACCTTAAGGACAAATGTCATTTCACTGCCACCTGGTCTCAAGAAGCTGAAATACATAAAAGATTCTAATATACAAATATCTCATTAAAAACACCATAGGTATGGCGTACACCAAAGATTGACCCATTATTGACAGAGAATTATCTAATCTATGTGAAATAAATACAAAAAGGTAACACATCTGGAGGAGTGGCAACCAATGGAATTGGAAAGCATGTCCCCATTCTCTGTTAATGATAAATAATTACATCAAGCATTTTTATTATGTTCATCATGAACCTTGCACTGAAGTAATTACTTTCCATTTATGAACTCATTTAAGCCTCAAAATGACACTCTCAGGTAGGTATCATTATATCCCCGTTCTACAGATGAGAAACTGAAGCAGAGAGTTCAAACTGTGCCACAGGTCAGGCAGTTTGCACGGACAGAGCAGGATGCAGAGGCTTATTGTTGACCATCTCATACAGCACAGTCTTTACTAAGCGTGCGCTACTACGCTAGACGTGACACATGCACTGTATCACACAATCTTCATAACAAACCTCTGTGTCAGGCAGATGAGCCCCACAATGGGCAGGAATCCCAGGAGAAAGGTGAAGGGATGTGGCTAAGGGCACAGAGCTGACAAAGGGACAGAGCTGCAATTCTAGCCACATCTGTCTTCCTCCCACCTCCTCCAGCCCCGGCTGTGCTAACCACACAGGTGCACAGCCCCTCCTCAGAGCTCCACTTTCTACCTCTAGGCTCAAGTGCAGTCTCAGAGTCCCTCCTACCTCCCTTGCGCCCTCTTGTAATTCTTCACAGGGGTACCCACCCCTGTTCCTCTGGCTCCAGTCCTCCCCAAATCGTGTGGTGTTCAAGCCCATTCTGGACTCTTGGAAAATGGAATCAGGATCTGTTCACCGGTCTTAACTGGACCACATTTATCTAACATCCCGAGAAGGTAATATGGAGCAAGCCCCTTTTCAAAACTAGATATTGTAAACTGCCAAGTTACAGGAACTTCGTTTGAAAAGAGATTTGTTCATTCTCCAGAAATGCCCGGCAGGACTGTCACAATGTCCCAAATTTCTGCTTTAATACTAATAAAGGATTCTAATTTCTACCTATTGAGATTTTCCAATCACCACAACAAAAGGTATTTTTAAAACTTTCAGAACTTTACTCCTTAAACATATTTTTCACCAGAGAAAAATGAAGTTCATGCAACAAATCTTTCAATTCACATTAATTTCATAATTTTACAACTTGAAGAAAAAACAAAAACCTGTCTCTTTGGTCTCCCCTCCACACCAATGGCTTAGAATAACAATGAAAAGAGGACAAAGGAGAAATTTAACTGTTTGATATTCTGATATTCATACTCGTGAACAAGAGAGAGCTCTTTGTATGTGTTGTGTCATATGTGTATTTCTAACTATAAGACTAAGATATACTCTATTGTCATAAGCAATTCAGGTATTATATCTTATGTATATACTCATATATATTGTAATTTAATAAAAGTTTATTGACATAGATATCACAAACAGAAAACTGTATAAATCATAGTGTTCAGCTCAGTGAATTATTTCAAAGTGAACACACCTGTGTAATTTAACTGTCTTTTAAACGGGTTATAAAAACACAAGCCACCATAAATTTGTAAGTCAACAGATATGCAACATTTTACAGTTTAGTACATATTCCCTAATTTGTTCAATGTGAAAATTTAGAAGAAAGCACCTTTTCAGAGTTTTTTAAGAAAACAAAAACCTTTGATGTAAATTCTATCCTTTTATGACAGGCCTATCAGTATGCATTCTCTCCTTGTAAACTAAAACCCATAGGAACAATTTAAAGCTCTCCATATGAACTCAATTTATTCAGACAAACCAATGACCTAATTCCTTGCTTATTCCTTCTCATTGCATCCAATAAGAAGAAATCAAATCCTGTTCACATGGGCACATCAAGGTTCTTCCATTATGGTAGTTATCTGATGAGTTCAACTCCAGGTCACAGGGAGGACAAGTCACTTCCACGACTAGTAAAACTAGTGGAAAAGTTCTCTCGGTCACAGCCCAACAGGCTTCTAAAATACAGGCCCAGAGAAAGGAAACAGCACCCCAGCCTTCCACCTGCTGCACCATCCTCCCAGTTGGACCGCTGCCTGGGGCCCCAGGGCTCAGGGTCCCTTCTCCCGCCAACATTCTACCTGGACTCTGAATTCCAGGGCTGGTATTTATGTTCCCAATGAACGCGGTTCGCTCTCCAGCCTGACACTGATGTCACCCATCTCCCACAACAAAGAGAGCCCACCCAAGCCCAGGTATAACGGACTCCCCACCCACCCCTACCCCCAAGCAGCTCAGAGAAAATCAGAAGCCTCTTGTCCGCAGCCTTCACTTATCTGGGTATATCATCCCCTTCTTTCTCCAAGCGTCTACAAATCTACTTGCGGGAACAATGAATTAAGAGACATTATTCCTCTAACTTACAATACTTGTATTGCAATATATACAAAACTCTCACCTGACAGAAAACTTGTGCTGGTGTGCCCTGGCTAATGAGAGACTCTCCACAGGTCCCACTGCATCCAACACCCACAACACCCAGCCCAGTGCATGGCCACAGGCTCCGATCAATGATTAACATTTCTTGAATGGATTTATAAGTTAATCAATATTTCCTCATCCTTCCACCATTCCCTGATCACACACCTACAGAGACAGCATCTTCTCAAACTTAAAAGTCCAGACTTCTTTTCATCCTGTCTTCCTTCGGGGAGTCGACATGCTCCTCACCATTTTATCTCCCTCCCCAGATCTTCCCCCACACCTCGTGAACCCACATTTCCTCAGGCCCCTATCACCTCCCTTCTGACGATGTCCCCTAACTCCTGTCTGCCTGGAAAGGCTATAAGCAGCAGTAGTAAAGGAGCTTCGTAAAAGAAGAAACTAAGCCATGTGCTCAAGACCCCAGCAGGAGTCAGAGACAGAGGGGGAACCAGCACCAGGTATTCTCTATTACCACGACAGGGTGACTGTGAAGGGGTCAGGAGAACTGGGGTTTTTTTTTTTTTTTTTTTTGAGTGCTATACATGTTTGATACCATGGTAATTCGTTTACCCTCGACATGCCAGATATAATCCCAGATACTGTAAGTAATAGAAAAGTAAAACGCAGTTTCTCCCTGTTTTCAATGAGCCTCGATTCTGCTGAATGGGATAAGAATCTCACACGGGAAGCAATTAAGTTAGCCATCAAATTCAACTATGAGGAACAGAGCCTGAGCTCAGCTCTCCAAACTTAAGAGTCTCATGTGAAATACAAAGAGCATTTTTCCAGCGTAGCAGCAAGGACTTGAAGCATCACCATGCACTCCTGTACAAGTGTGCTGTTCAGCCTGGCACCCATCCTGGAAAGCCTGTGAGAAGCTCAGAAAAGGAGAACATTTCACAGCACCACACTCAGCTACCCTGGGTCCACTCATCATGAGAACTGTGGGTCTGAAAATAAAAAGTGCCTCTTAAAACCTCCTACCCCAAAACAATGAATCCAAATGAGAAGCTGAACACTCTTTACATTATTGTTCCTGACTTTACAGAAATTCCTCATAAAAATATTATTTCACGAGCTTGGAAACAGATCCTCCAGCCCAGTCAAGCCCTGGATGACTGTGATCCTGGCCAACATCTTGATTACAATGTCATGAGAGACCCTGAACCACGCAGCCAAGCCCTGATTTCCTGACCCCTAGAAACTATGTAAGATAATAAAATTTACTGTTTAAATATACATATACACACATATATATAATTTCACAACACTTATAATAAAAAAACACATGATTTTCTAATTTTTATGTTCCTAAATTTAAGATTAGCCACTTAAAAAAATTGATACACATATATTCTAATCCATTTCAGATACAAAATTTCAAAAACATCCATAGTGGTAATAAGTTAACAAAATGAAGTGACAACAGGCTACTTTAAGAAATACCCAGTGAAGTTTTTCACATTTACTTTAATTGAGGCATAATTTACAGACCATAAATACGCCATTTAAAGTCTACTGCTGAATGAGCTCTGACCACTGCACGTCACAGTATAACCACCAGCCCAGTCAAGACAGAACATATCCATCATCCCAGAAAGCTCCCCGCTGTGCTTTCCGGTCACCTCCACTCCCCCCGCCCCAAACCAGCCATCTGCAGGGGTGGTGCTGGTTGTGCCAGGATCATCACTGAGTCCTGTGTCCTGGAGAAGTTCTCACAGACGGGGTCACTTCCTTGTGTTTGGCTTCTTTCATTCACCACAACGTTTTAGAGATTCATCCACGTTGTCTCCTGTATCCGGAACTAGTTCCTTTCTGCTGATGAGTAGTATTCAGTCACATGGATATAACAGTTTTTGTTATCCTGTTCATCTGCTGATGAGCATTTGGGTTATTTCTACTTCTTAGCTATGAGGAATAAAGCCATCTTGAACATTCATGTACCAGTATTTATGTGGACAGACGTCCTGGCTTCTCTTGGGTAACTGAAGGGG